TGCAAGAGTGGTCAAGCAGTGGCAGGGGCTGCCCAGGGCAGTGGTGGAGTCCCCATCCCTGGAGGGGTTCAACAGAGGAGATGTTGTGCTTGGGGACGTGGTGGTGGCCTTAGGGCTGGTTCAATGGTTGGACTCGATGATCTTAAAGATCTTTCCCAACCCATCACGCTGTGATTTTTGTGATTCCCCCATCCCATGGCCAGAGCTGCAGCGCCTCAGTGAAAGCAGCTGCAGACGGCGCAGCCTCAGAGCTGGTTAACGCCACAGCATCGGCGTTCAGGAAAGGGAGCGAGGGGAGGGCAGGAAGGAAAAGCAGCCAAAGCCCAGCAAAGGAAGGGGGGGTCCTGCATTCCTCACCCCTTGGGCCCAGCCGCTGCCGGCAGAGCCGCGCTGGAGACCAAGCACTGCTTCTTGGCAGGCGGCTCCCCCTCAAGCTGTCCAGTGTCAGGTCGATCACCTCCACGGGCTTCTTGCCTTCCGAAGAGCTCTTGCCCTCGGAGCTGACAGTGTAAAGGGCACTGGCTGCAGAGGGAAACAGCGATCAGCTTCAACAGCTGCAATGGGGACAAGGAAATGCCACAACCCTGCGATGCGACTTCCCCAAAGCTCGGAGCAAACCCATGCCCTGTGTCAGAAAAGGGTCACCCCCTCGCTAACGGTCAGGGCTCCGTTTGCACAGCCCACCTGGAATTAATGCTGTGTTTTCAAGAGAAACCTGCACTTTTCTTGCTTTTTCTATTGCTTACTCCACAGAGTTGTGCTAAGTGCTCAAGCTCCTGTGTCATCCCAATACCGGGACCTGAAACGCTCCAGATGTTGTAAATGTAAAAACTGTAAGGGTAAACGTTGCAAACCCAAGATCTGGTGCCCACAGCCCCCGTACCCTCGATCCCACTGAACGCAGGCGCCTGGCACAGCTCCTGCTTCTCCTTCTTGGGCTTCATGGGGCACCAGGAGCCGTCCTCCATGAACTGGATCTCGTCGCAGTCCGTGCAGGAGTTGAGGATCTCCATGAACAACCTGAAAGGAGAGCACGAACCCTGCAGGGACTCACACAGAAACACAGGGACGGCAGAAACACCAGGGGAACGATGGCGCTGACGGGTAAAGGTGTACGCAGAACGGTGGTTTGGAAAGCAGTTATCACCTGCGGGTTGAGTTGTGTGCTGGGCTGCTCGGGACACACAGCAGGGCTCTGTTCAAACCCCGCTTCCCTCATCATGGCCTCTGCAGAGGCCGCCAGGGAGGAAGCCAAAATTTAGACAAAGGCTTCCTGTTCTCTGGGAGAAATCCCTCCAGATTGGCAGCAAAGCAGTTTAGGGAAGGAAAAATCAGATTTTTATGTTATCCAAGGCTTTAACTTGTCTACAGACGCTAGCATTAGAGGATAAGCCTTTAAAGAAACACATTATCCGGGCTAAAACCCGCTGGAGCAGCACACGGGGCTCACCCGTCGATTATCAGGCTGTCGTAGGGCGCTTTCTTGTCGCACACAGGGCAGGTCCAGGTGGGTTTCTTCTCGTTCATCTGCAGGTAGAGCGCGGCGTCGAAGCACTGGAGGTGGCTGCAGGTGATGGCGCGGCAGGGCACGATCAGCCTCATCTTGCCCAGCTGGGGACCAGGGAGAAGCGGAGTTGGTTTGGTACAAACTGAACCCGGCGCCGTTATTCCCCGTTTATTCCCCTGCCCAGCGTGAGGTTACGCTAAATGTCAACGAGGAATTAACAGGCAAGGAAAACAAGCTTTCCTGAGGGTATTTCTGCCTTTTGCTTCTGGTTTTAAGCTCACCTCCACCTCAAAAATACGCTGTTAATGAAGGTGAAGGACAAGGATCGGGTCCAACTGAAGACATTTTTCAGCAAGGCAGTTTAGGCCACCAATTTGGGCCAGTTTTAATGTATGAAAGCAAGCGGTTCTGCGTTATTTAGGAGTCAAAGCTGACTTTTTAACAGAAGCAGAGCTGCAGCAGCACTGGCTCTCGTCTCCAAAGCATTCCTATGCAACAGCAAAGTAAAGCAGGAAGCTGCTCGTCCAAGAAAAAGGAATTAAAATGCAGAAACCTACAGGACACATGAGGGAAACTCGGAGGCTCGTCGTAGCTATCTCGCTGTCGGGATCGGCTGTCAGCTTCTCCTTGACTGAAAGAGGAGGGGGAGAAAGGGCTCACATCAGCATCATCTTTAATTTACATACAAATACGTACAGATACCATTTACAGTTTGCACCATCATTGTCCAAATTGCAGGCAGGGAACGCTTAGGCAGCGGATACGATTAATGTTAACAGCTCCAGCAAAGGGCTGCTTGGTGAGGCCATGCACAGAGACGTCCCTGCCTTAAAGATTTCACAGCCTGTCTGGGGAAACATTTGGTTGTGGGGGAACAGGGGGTGAGTTGAGCGCAAGCAGCAACGGCTCCGCTCCCGCCGCTGCTCACAGGGTCAATATTTTGGGAGTATCGCAACGGAGATGGGCACAGTTTGATTTTGAGCTCTGCTGAACAGCATCACTGTAAAACCATCCGTCATCTTTACAGTCCTCACCTTCCCAGCAAGTTCTCATCGATGGGACTCTGCACACACACGGACTGCTGCACCTCGAATCCTGGGGTCAGGTTTGGGCCCCTGACTCCCAGAAGGACATTGAGGGGCTGGAGCATGGGCAGAGAAGGGCAATGGAGCTGGGGAGGGGTCTGGAGCAGCCGAATGATGGGGAGCGGCTGAGGGAGCTGGGGGTTCAAGTGGAGAAGAGGAGCTGAGGGGAGACCTTATCCCCTCTGCAGCTCCTGAAAGGAGGGGGGAGCCAGGGGGGGTCGGGCTCTGCTCCCCAGGAACAAGCGATGGGACGAGAGGAAACGGCCTCAAGTTGTGGCAGAGGAGGGTGAGGTTGGATTTTGGGAGGAATTTCTGTCCTGCAAGAGTGGTCAGGCACTGGCAGGGGCTGCCCAGGGCAGTGGTGGAGTCCCCATCCCTGGAGGGGTTTAAAAGCTGAGGAGATGTTGTGCTTGGGTCATGGTTTAGTGGTGTCCTTAGGGCTGGTTCTGTGGTTGGACTCGATGATCTTAAAGATCTTTTCCAACCAAAACCATTCTCAGGAGCGCACACAATGGCCTGCACTGCCCTTGCTCCCGAATTCAGACCTGCTCTGCCCTCCCAACTCGGCCTGGGACCAGCCCCAGGGGTCCTTACTCTACTCTCAGTCCCAGGGGTACTTACTCAGGGCTCGTGAATGGTCCGGATTTCGGATGCCCTTGGCTCTCAGCTTCTGCAGCAGCGTCACCGACGTCAGCTGCTTCACCAGGTACACCGACAGCGAGTAATTCTGTTGGGAAGAGGTTGAGGCTGCTCAGACCTAAGGAAAACCCACCCGAAAGGAGAGGACTCTCTTGGACCTGCACAGCTCAATGCTCCTGCAAAAATAACCCCAATTCTGCCCTGCGAGACCCCAGGCTGCAAAAAGATGGTATTTACAGAAGGTGAAATGGTTTTCACCGCCCTCACCCTGCCAAACTCTGAGGACCAGTTCACGACGATGGTGTTGGGGACAGTGGCCGACAGCCGTGCCAGTGGAGTGATGTTGACGGGGCGGCTGGGGCGCTTCGGCTCCACGCCGTTTTTTGTGGGTGGGAGATAACCCTGCAAAGAAAGAAAGAAAGAAAGGTTACCTGATGTGCTCAATAGAGTAAGTTAGAGTTATTATGTAGTAATATTGCATTTAGTATATAATAAACTCCCTCCGAGGTGTAAGGCCATGTAAGAGAAGCTACAAACCCAGTTTCTCCATGGCACATTGTGCCTCAGGTATTTCACGTCACCCTAGAGCTTGTGGGAGAATTTCTCAATAAACCCCAAAGTGGTATATTCTAGTCTAGTCTAGTCTAGTCTTTTATAGTATTTTATAGTATATTAGCTATTTTATCTTGTATCTTGTCTTGTATCTTATATATCATATACCTTATGTTATTTTATATATATATATTATACATCATATCTCATATCATATCCTATATCGTATGTCGTATTGTGTCATGTGTCATGTTGTGTCGTGTCACGTGACGCGTTGTGTCGTGTGTCACACCGTGTCATATGTCATGTCATACCATGTGTCATGTCATAACATATGTAATATCAAATGTCATATCGCATCATGTCATGTCCTATGTCATGTCATCATATGCCACACGTCATGCCATACGTCATACATCGTATCGTACGTCGTATGTTGTGTCGTATCATGTCATACCGTGTCATGTCGTGACATAGGTCGTGACATGTATCATGTCATGCCACATCATGTCATGTGTCACACGTCATACAGCTCATATCATCGCTCATATCTCGTATCAAGTATCCAGTATCATATTATATTCCTCAATGTCAAGAAATGGAGAATAAAGGTTCCCTCTAACATCCCAAATACTGGAATCCCGTCAGAAGCTGAACCTCCCCACACAGGGCTCCGGTTGGGATGTGCTGTGCACAAACAGCACTGAATTAAAACCCAAATCCCACTCAGTTTAATGAAGCTGGGAGGCTAAAAAAAAATAGATATATTTTTTATATTATTATTT